CAGAAATGTCTTTAATACAATTTATAATTTTTATTATGTATATTTTTTTATTGTAAATCTTTGGTTATTTATTCTGAGATCACCATTTTATTATTTTAAAAAGTGAATAATAAAATGAAATAAATCTTGTGTGTTGAATAAAACCCAGATCGTGTGGATAATACCGAGTGAAGGGTTGAGGTGGTGCTCCATCGCTGTAGCTATGTGTCTGTCAGGATCTGTGCTGGTGATGACCTTCTGGCCAGCCATCAGAGAGGACAAACCAAGGATCATCATCGCCATTTTATCCACCATCGTCATTCTTCATGTCCTTCTGGCAGTTGGTTGCAAGGTATGTTGGTTGTGTTAATTATTTGATCAATCCGTGTCAGTCTATACTGGATATCAGGAAATATTGAATATATATTGTGCAAGCTCATCTAGCTAAGTTTAGTTTATTTTAGACAATATTCATTCATTTTTCTTTGGCTTAGTTCCTTATTTATCAGGGGAATGACCCACAGTGGAATGAACCACCAACTATTCCGACATATGTTCTATGCAGTGTATGCCCTTTCAGCTGCAACCCAGTACTGGGAAACAAACATACACTCTCACATTCATACACGCACTTATACACTAAGGCTAATTTTGTTTGCCCAAATTCACTTATAGCGCATGTCTTGTACATGGACTGTGGAGGAAACCCTCACCAACATGGGAAGAACATGCAAACTCCACACAGAAATGTTAACTGGCCCAGCCGGGACTTGAACTAGTGACAGTGCTAAGCACTGAGCCACCCTATTTTAGAAAATGTTTAGACAATATAGATTTGAATACTGGCAAATAAATAAATTAATTGATACCTTTGTGTTCATATGTATGTTTATGATCTAGTACTCTATTCAATTTTGTTTTTCGTAAGATTTGAAAACCTATAGTTACATTTTTCAAACTTAGTGATCTCCCTTTTTAAGTGACTAATATTATTAAAGGTTTGAATAGACTACTCAGTTTTGTAGGATATTTTTGGTGGAAAGGGGAAATGTGGTGGAAAACTAAATTTTTTTATTGTTAGAACTTAAGAAGCTTTTTGTTAATTTGAAAAATATTATTGCGAATAGTGAATATATACTGTAGACTATCGAAAAATATACAGCCTAAAGAGGCTAATAATTTTGACCTTAATACGGTTTTAAAAAAATTAAAACCGCTTTTATTCTTGCCAAAATAAAGCAAATAAGACTTTCTCCAGAAAAAAAAATATTATCAGACATACTGTGAAAGTTTCCTTGCTCTGTTAAAGATCATTTGGGAAATAAAGTAAAACAAATAATTTACAAACAGATCTAAATGTTGTATTTTTAACAGATTTTTGCTAATCTTATAATTCATGCACATTTTTCAGACTGTATATTTAAAAGGTACAATATGTAGGATTTTTTTTATTAAAATATCCTGCATAAAATCATTAGAATGGTGTTTACTGGTTTATGCAATTAAATTATCGCAAATGTTTTAAAGAATGTTCAAATTATAAAAAAATAAATATTGGTAATTTCATTTACTTATACTGTATACCCAAAACTGAAAATTCTTTCATTATTTACTCACTTTTGCAAACCTTTAAGAGTTTCTTTCATCTGTTGAACACAAAAGAAAATATTTAGACTTTTATAGCATTTGTTTTTTCTCTACTATAAAACTCAGTGGTTACAGTTTTTCAGCTTTCTTCAAAATATCTTCTCTAGTGTTTAACAGCATAAGGTTTTTACCCACTTGCGGATTTTTTTTGGTGAACTCTTGATCTTTTCAAAGGATCAAACAGGTTGGTGTCAGTTTTCCCACTGGAGTGGTGTGTTCCTGGAAACACAGTCATTCCACTGTCTTGGACATATGCCAGACTGTGAACACAACCATATCCTCATCGCTATCGTGTGCCTTCAATTACATTCATTTAATTAGGGAATGCAATGTTAGCTGAGATTAAGGAACAAAAGGACTGTCAAAGTATGAAAGATTTGTTCCCTCTCTCTTTTTTGCAGGCTTGTTTCTTCAGCACATACGAGACAGATCCATCAGCGGACAACAATGAGCCTCTGAAAGCCGGCAGCACTTTATCATTCACAAAGGCGAACTGAACCACAGCCGTGGGTAGACACAGGACTTCAATGAGGGGGCATATACTTTTTGAGTTTTAATCGCAATAAAATGACATTTCAGTGTCATTATATTGCAGACGCTGATTGGTAAGAAGACATTTTGTTAACTTGAGACAAAACTTCCTGTGCATAATCTGTGCTCCTCCAGAGACTGTTATTCTCCTGTAATTGCAGCGTCTCCTCTTGCGTTATTAGAGAGAATCAGGTATCTTGATAATGAGATGAGCCGTCTGGATTCTTCAGTTTACAGTCGGTGAAGGTAATGCCTTTTTTTAATGGTTTGGTTAATGTATGTAGGTGAGCAGGGACGGTGAGAGATGGGCATCTACAGCAGGTTTGATGTTTTCTGATTTGAGATGCAGACACATGTTACTGTTACAAATCGAGGACATGTATATACTATATAGCTGTGGCTTAAATATTTATGCGATAATTGTGAACTTGAGATGGTTTCAAAAGGTCACTCTACTGTTTTTTAGCACTTTGGAACTTGTACATGTGCTTAAAATGTTTAATGCTTTGAAGTACTATACAGTGGTGGAGGGAAAAAGGGATGAGTTCATATAAAAAAAGAAATGACAATATGTTATGCAGTAATAATGCACTAAAGATAGTTTAAGTAGAAACCCCAGTTTTCTATGGCGGCAGTTTTTTCTTGTTCTTCTTATTTTATAATTATGTACTGTATGAATTGGGATTTTTAATTATGCATTTTCTTTCAACATGATACTTTTAGATGAATTGAACATTTAACTGTATTCCAAGACATCATGTTGTTATTATGATTCAGTAGTTTTTCTTTCTATTTAAAATCTCACACACACACAAATAAAAAACAAAATACTGAGCACATGCTATTTGTATACACTATTTTTATACAATTATTAATAATTTATCTTTGCTCAAAAAATGTATTTGATCTGCAAATGGATTAACAAACAAATTCTCAAAATATTCAAAGTATTGTCAATATATATTTACAATTTAAGAATGTCACCCCATTTTGAAAATGATTATTTTTATCCTATTTATTTCTTAGTGAATATAGACAATGTATTTTGGTGCATTTAAACAAAACATATTTAATAAACAGATATATTTATTTAAATTTTAGTAGACCAAAAGATTTTAGTCACCAAACATATTTAGAAATTGAAAGATAATACAAATAAATTCAGGGAAAATAAAAAATTACAACCTACAAAATTTCAACAAAATTTTTAAACTTTTGTTTCTCTTAATTTTTCCTTTTTAGTTTGTTTAGTATTTTTCTATAACATAAATTTGGGTGTACTAGATTTTGGACCGTTATCGTAATTTTTTTTTTTTTTTATAAGCTCCAGATTTGGCTTCAGTACTGACTAATCTGATGTAAATGCTCAAACATAATATTCTATTGCTTCCTATTAAAAATATGAATTTAAAAGAAAGATTTGTGAGGGGTGTACTTGTATATACTGAGCACTGTATAGCTTATATATACACACACACACACACATACATATATACATACATACATGCATACATACAGTTGAAGTCGAAATAATTGGCCCCAGTTACTTTTTTTTTTCCTCATGAAGATGATTTTTTTTCAACACATTTCTAAACAAAATAGTTTTAATAACTGGTTTATTTTAACTTTACCATGATGAATGATGACAGTAAATAATATTTGACTAGATATTTATTAAGACATTTCTATACAGCTTAAAGTGACATTTCAAGGCTTAACTAGGTTGATTAGGTTAACTAGGCTGGTTAGGGTAATTAAGCAAGTTATTATATAACGATGGTTTGTTCTGTAGACTATCAAATAATATAGCTTAAAGGGGCTAATAATTTTGACCTTAATTTTTTTTTTTATTTAAAAAAAATGCTTTTATTCTAGTTTAAATAAAGCAAGTAAGAAAAAAAAACTGGCTGGGCCAGTTACCATTTCTGTGTGGAGTTTGCATGTTCTTCCCGTGTTGGCATGGGTTTCCTCCAGGTGCTCCGGTTCCCCCCACAATCTAAACACATGCGCTATATTTATATATATATATATATATATATATATATATATATATATATATATATATATATATATATATATATATATACACATGTCCGTATGTATGTGTGTATGGGTATTTCCCAGTACTGGGTTGCGGCTGAAAGGGCATCCGCTGCATAAAACATATGGCAGAATTGTTGGCGGTTCATTCCACTGTGGCTAAATAAGGGACTAAGCCGAAGGAAAATTAATTAATGAATTATCTGTATCCCATAGTCATGTAATAAATATTCAGCAGTTTTTTTTTTTTCCATTTAAACCCACACGCACACAAATACAAACCAAAGAGCTGAGCATGTGCCAGGCGTAGAATGATTTTCCATTTATTAAGTCTCAGTGATTAATGATGAATTTGATATCCAGTGGGTTTGGGTGCAGATTTCATCCTCAGCATCTTCAAGATTAACGAACAAAGGTTTATTGTCGTAGATAAAATCTATCTTGTCTTGATGTCAGGATCTGATGCAGTGCAACGTTTCGATCTTCTCCTCTTACCATCGACAGTGCACTTTTCACCTTTATTCCTCACACTCATTAGATTAATTAGATAAATGATTTTCTTAAAGTTGGCACTGGCATTATGAAATGGCCTGAGCTACATTTTCCAATTAACAAAATAGAAAAATTGTGTCACTTGAAACTGTGCCAATGTGTGGTGTGTCCTAATTAAGGGTCATTCTAGCCTTAGCTTAGAGTTACACTGAAGCAGCCTCCCAAACCTGTAACCTTTGTGGAGGAATGTCAGCTTCACTGTTTCCCTTTACACGCTGGATTAAAAAGCAAGCGCTGGACCTGCTGACGTTGTCGCGTTAATGACCTGCAAATGGAAAAGCTATTTAAAGAGGCTCTGACCTGACGACCTGTTATTATGGCTTTTCAATATTGCATTTAAGACAGCACATGAATGATGGCTGCTAAAGCGGAAAAGGTATCCAAATACGAAACTTTAAAGCTTCTAGAAAAGTGCAGAAAGGAGAGAGACGATGCTCTGCACCGCGAGAACGCCATGAGGGAGAAGATGAGACAATACGAGACTCGGATGAGACAATAGTATGATCCTGCACAACTGGAGTAGCTGCACTCTCAGGACCGCATGTTTAGGACCGCATTTTTAGGACCCTAGTTTTTTGCGGAAGCGCCACCTACCGGATTGGATGACATAGTGAAACTGCATTTCTAGGACCCGTTTTCAGGCACTTTTTTCCAGAGGTTAAAGTGTAAAACGCCTGCTTTAAATAACAATTTTAAAATGAAACAAATGAATTTACACCTAAAATATAAATGAATAAATAGAGTTGAGTGCCTTAAAAGTCTTAAATTCCTTGAAAAATACTGTATATTGATGAACCCCATTACATTGAACTAATTGGCTCAGTATTAGGGAAAATAAATTGAAATCAAATGGGATCAGCATTTGCAGTTACTAATTTAATACCAGGTTGTAAAGGTTTTAGAGAGTCAAGACACAAGAATGATTCAAGAATGTACATTTATATAAATATCCACACAGTCTTTCTGTATTAATGCAATTCAACCACAAAAATGACCCCACTGTTTATTCAGTTGCTGCATTCAATTTTTTATTCCTGTGAATGAGAGAGAAGAGAGTTCAAGTATATGTATGTATGTATATATATATATATATATATATATATATATATATATATATATATATATATATATATATATATATATATACAAACATACATACACACAGTAGGGTAAATAAATATTCAACACGTTTCCAATTGTCTCAGAAAACATATTTCTAAAGGTGCTATTGACCTGGAAACCAAAGAAAAAAATATATGAATATAAAACAAATCTAATTACTTTACAAATTGTTATCAACATCTGGTGAAAATTTCATGTCAACAGCACCTTTATAAATATGTTTTCTGAGAAAAATGGAAACGTGTTGAATATTCAATTCAATTTCAATTAATTTCATCTTTATTTCTAAAGCACTTTTACAATGTAGATTGTGTCAAAGCAGCTTAACATTTATTAAATTCAGTTCAGTTCAGTGTGGTTTAGTTTTCACTGCTGAAAGTCCAAACACTGAAAAGCAAATCCATCGATGCACAGTTCCACAAGTCCTAAACCAAGCAAGCCAATGGCGACAGTGGAGGAACAAAACTTTACAAATTGATGAAAGTGAAGGAATAAACCTTGAGAGAAACCAGGCTCAGTTGTGGGCACAACCATTTCTCTTCTGGCCACACTTCACGTGCAGAGCTGCAGTCTAAGCGCTGGAGGCTGAAGAACACTGGGCGTCCATCGTGGAGAAGCTGCTGGTGTGAGTAGGGCACCAGCGGGTTTTCAGGCTGGACCACAGGATCAATGCGGGCACTCATCTGTCACTGGGGTCTTTCATTAATCAGTCTCATGCTCTCCACTTCTCCATGACCACCACTGCATCTGCTCATGATACGGTCTGTTTCAGGATTATGGATACATTTAGAAGTCCTCTATGGTGGCATCATCTCTTCACAGGTCGCGATCTCTAGAGGCCTCTAGATAAATATCCCCAGGTGGAAATAGGGAACAAGGAAAATAATTAGCACAGCTGCTGTTCATAGTGTATTTAAACAAAAGATATTAAATATCAAGACAAAAATGAAGTGCTATGAGATAAATTAGCAGTTTTATAAATAAACATGAAACGCACATGATTATTTATAACAAAATGTCTGGTGCATTAAGACAGCAAGAGTGTGTCCTCCAGGTGGTTTGTCAATCCCACTCACCCGCATAGAGCACATGGGGCAGCACAGTGGTTAGCACCGTCGCTTCACAGCAAGAAGGTTGCTGGTTCAAGCCCCGGCTGGGCCAGTGGTCATTTCTGTGTGGAGTTTGCATGTTCTCCCCATGTTCAAGTATATAAGTGTAAATGGGTGTTTCCCAGTACTGGGTTGCGGCTGGAAGGGTATCCACTGTGTAAAACATATGCTGCATAAGTTGGCGGTTCATTCTGCTGTGGCAACCCCTGATAAATAAAGGGACTAAGTCGAAAAGAAAAATGAATGTATATAGATATTCTTGAATATGTAAAATCATGTATATAAACTCAAAAGGTTAACCAATTGTTATGCAATTAAATTTAGATTAATATTTAATATAAGTGGTATAGTAACAAACATTTGCTTTACAGTGTTAGCTATAATATACACACACACACACACACACACACACACACACACACACACACACACACACACACACACACACAGATATATATATATATATATATATATATATATATATATATATATATATATGCACTGTTGGGAGAACCAAACAGGAAACCTTACTGCCAACTCCATATTTTTTAGTATATAAGAGCAATACCCACCTATTGAATGGTCTCTCTTCTTTCGTCAGTTGTTTGTCAATCTGTCTGTTAAATTATTTTACTTCACTGCAATAGAGAACAATCACTGTTGAGTTAACATATATACCAGTAACAAAAAGGCTCTTTGAGCATTGTGCAAAATTAACCATATTCTGACCTGTAATGATAACCGTTACCAGAAAGAAAGACCTGCTCAGCATCATCCAAAGACAAGCTCCTCAAGACACCCAGATCATGTACGATGTCCTATGAAAAAAATAAAATAAAATCATTTAAATATGGACTAAAATACCACCACAGAACAGCAAATCATTTTACATAGGTTCATAAATGAGTAGCACCCAGCATGCAGTTTATATACTTATTTGGCCAGACATTCCTCTGGAAAATGAACACCACAGATAAGCTGCACTTCATCATAGATATGCTATAAACTCAAGAACACAGCTAGCATTTGTAACTGTATTTATAAACTGCTTATCAATGTCTATTAAATGTAGAGTTAATGCTAAACAAATAAAATATTAATAAATTAACTATTTATTAAATGCTTAATACATTATTTATAGTATGCAGATGTTATAAAGTGTAACTCAACAGTTTGCGATAACCTCAATGAAAATATTCCTGTAGTTTGTTTTCTTTTCTTCCTACAATGAGCCTAGGCAATCCAATCATATTGGCCATCACTTCTTATTCGCCAGGTAAAACATACCTGATATACATTAAAGATATGAGACTTCATATGGTTAAGGCCTGCAGAATAAGCCTAACTTTTAAAACCGTCAAACATCTCATTCATCACTGTAAAACGATGACAAAACATCAGGCTAATAACACATTGTGGGGCTAACAGGCAGTCAGCACAATTTTTTATGTGCTAATGTAATACAACGTTGAGTAATGGTTTTTACACGAATATAGCAAAATATAGATAAATCTGAAACTCTCACATCAACGTGCTTTTACCATCTTAGTTTAATGCATGTGTCACTAAGCGTATTAGACCGCCGTTAAGTCAACAAGCCATTAAATCAACAATGTTTCAATAAACCATGGTCACGAACTACGATCGTCGTAGCATTTAATCAAACTAGAAAACGAACTCTAGAAAATTATTAACAGTTATAGCAGCTCTTACTCTGGCTGTGTAAAATTATCCATAATTATTATTATCATATTTTATTCTTCTGGAAAAAAAAACTCGTCACGTAACATTTTTGTCCCAGTCCCCAGACCCTTGGGGTAAATCATGCAGGCTAATCTGGCATTTCTGCATAACTTTACAGTATAAAACAGCAGCATTACAAAATAAACACATACTTTAACAGTTTAAAATAAAACTTAATAGAAAATCGGTACTTACACTTTCCTTGTAATCCGTGTCGTCCATTAGCGCATCCTTGATCCAATCCGACAGTTGGCGCTGTCACAAAAAAATAGGGTCCTAAAGATGCGGTCCTAAAAATGCGGTCCTGAAAGTGCAGCCACTCCAGTTGTGCAGGATTACCCTTCTCGGATGAGATCCACAGAAGCGCTCAAACAAAAACTCAAGCAGCTGACTTTGGACAACAAGGAGCTGCGGAAACATGTGAAGGTCCTGCGGGCTGAAATCGGCTTAGAGGCCAATCCCAAATTTAACGGGAAAACCACGAAGGACATCATCAACGACCTGCACGACAAGGAGATCGAGTGCAATTCGCTGGTCGAGAAAGCGGGGAAATTAAGTTTGACCATTGACGAGCTCACTTCTGAGCTAGCGAACACCGTCACCTCTAAAACTCTCCTGGAGGACCAGGTCCAGTCCCTGCAGCAGAACCTTAAGGACATGACCAACAACCAGCGGCGGCTCCTCAAGCTCTGGGAGGACAAGAAGGCTCAGCGGGAGCAACTCTCACTGCCCGCCATCCCACAGAGACCCGGACAGAAGCCCGTGGTGCACAAAGGTGTCCAGACAGAGATGTCCATAAGCTCAGCTCAGATTTTACCCACGAACGCCTTCGAGACCAAGAACCGCCGAGACCTCGATAAAAGCAGAACCAGCCTGGAGAGACGCAACATCACTTTAGCAAACGGCACACACCGATGAAGCAAAGGAATACACAAGTGACCGTTATTAATTAGCCTGCTCTGAATACTCAAACTTTTTTTTGCCGCTGCACATCTCTTGGCTGCTGAATGACTGAGCATACTTTGAATTCAGCCTATTATATTGTTATTTTATTTTATTTTTTTAGACTTTTAAATTAAAAGGATTCATCCAAAAATGAAAGAATGTGTCATAATTTACTCACCCTTCTCTAGAACCTTTTTTTCTAATCACAAAAAATTTATTTTGTAAATAAATCTAATTTATTTTATTGTGTGTATATTATTAATTTTCTTTCTTCTGCCAAAAAAAATGTTATTCCTGAAAGCTGGAAACCTGTAATTGACTTCTATATTTGTTTTTCAAATGGATTTAGGTTGTGGTTTTTTAGCTTTCTTCAAAATATCTTCTTTTTTTAATATAAGGAACTCAAAAAGATTTAGAACCGATTGAGGGTGGCTCAATAGTGAGTAAATTTTCATTTTTGGTCGAACTATTCCATTAATATGTTTAAATGACAAAAACAGACTCAGTTATGTTAAGACTTTTACTGACTCCGTTATTTGCTTCCTATGACAGTTTTTTAAAACTGCATGATGTAAACAGTGTGTACATTGAATTACTGATAAACATTAAGGGCAAATGCCATTTTTTTCTAGCTCTTCTCTTTTTAATTACAACATTTACCTGTATAATGCAAACAGTTTTTAAATGTATTTTTCTTAATGTAAACTGCTTAATGGTATTAGCCAGTTCAAGAAAAATGACACCAAAATTGTGTTTTTCTATGTGGATCTTTTCCAAAGCAGTGGTTCTCAATAAACATCCAAGGGGTGTTAAGATGACTTAAAGGGATAATTAACAAATAGAATGGAAACTCCGTCTTCATTTGCTCAGTCTTCATTTTAAACCTGCTTAAGCTTCTTTCTTCTGTTGAAAACAAAAGATATTCTGAAGAATGTTGGAAAGCAGCATCGACTGCTTTCCAACGATTCGTTGTTTACTACAAAATCCTATCTTATTGGTTCAACAAAATGAGAGTTAAACACGTTTAACTGCTTGATCATGAGTAAATTTTCATTATGGGATGAGCTGTCCCTTTAAAATTATTTAAAATACAAAGCATTAAAATAGACACACAACGTCATTTTATTTGGTTAATTGGATGCTAAATGTGTATCTCTACTTGTGCGAAGCTCAAAATTTGTTATCGGATTGAGTAAAGGGCAAATATTTTTGTAAACAATAAGGCCCCTTGAAGTGAAAAAAAAAGTTGAGAACCACTGCTTCAAAGACATAATTCATACAAATTTGTAGATTCAGAAACGGTTATTCATTTTGTCTTTTAAACTTGTGTGATTTATTTTATTATTATTCAGAACACAAACGTTGTTTTGGTTAATATTAGTATTGACTTCCATTTTATGAACAAAACACGCAAGTTAAAATTTTTCTTTGTATTTTTTACAATATTTTCAACGTTCTGAAAGAATGGTTATTTAGGGTGAGCACATGACAATTCAATCTCTGTACGGATTATACTTGTGTGGTTTTACTCAGGCAATTAGTCGGACGCCCTCGCCATGGTCCTTATGAGGTCCTTCGAATGTGTGGCGCGGGCACTGCTCTCACTTTTGCCATGTTGATTATGGATTTTACTCTGGTGATACAGAATTGAAACGAGCATGTCAAAATGTTTTCCATGAAACAGAATTGCTGGTTTATAAGAAAGGTAAGAACTGGCTAAGTATAAACCGTATTGAAAGAACTGAACGGTAGCCAACTAGCGTTAGGAACTTTACAAGTTTAGTCGCAGACTTTTGGGCACCATCACATCACCGTGTACTGTTATAGTACCTTATAGTTTGTTTCTGGTAAATTGATAGTGTATTGAATATTAGTAATTTGTTGAAAACTAGTTACATTTTTAAAGCCATAACAACAGACGCAAATTGTGTTTGAAAGCAGCTGACAAACAAAGCTTTATCAAAACACTAATGTACGTTACCAGAACAAAGTCTCATCTTATTTTATTTATTTATTTATTTTCAGGTTGTGATCTGGAGAGCGGTGGCGAGTATTGCATGGTCAGTTCTTCTCCTGCCCATCACAACTGCAGTCTTTGTGCTCTTGAGTAGATTCAGTCTGTTTCACCCCATACAATGGATTTCAGGTGAGGAAAAGATCAAGAGTGTCTAACAAAACGCATGATTACATGTGGTCACTGATACTGGGATTTGATATGTGAATTCATTATTTATAAAAGCAGAAGATCTGACCGCAAAGCACGTTACACAAAATGCGTTGTGCTCTGACATGCACTCTCGAAAATAACGGTTGTGTAATGGCATTGATGGTTCAATGAAGAACTTGCAATATCGAAAGAACCATTAAAAGGTTTTGTTTTTCATCCTATAAACTAAAAACTGATTACTGAAAGATTCTTGGAGGAACCCAATATACTTCTCTATGGCATCATTTCAAAAGCGCTGTGTGTATGAAATAAACATTTGATATACTAATATAGGAGAATATCAAGTGACTTTAAACAAGTTTAAAGCTCAGTGAGTTTAAAAAATATATATTCACAGTAGCAAACATTAAATTGTTTTATAACCTTCTTGTAATTTATATCAATGAAATGTATTTATTATTTCCGGACAATTTGGATAAAGTATACAATTTTATTTCCTAATTGTTTTAATAATCAAGTGAAATGATAATGTATTTTATGGTTCTCTTAAACATTTAAAGTTACACCATAATTTGGACGTTATTATGCAAAAAATTTCATTATCTAAAAGATTTGTAAAAATTGTGACAGATTATGTGTAACAGGTTTTCAGATAGGCCTGTCACGATGTCAAATTTATTGTGATAAACAATATTATTGTTCTTTTAAAATCAATTGATGCCACTCATTATATAATGCAAGTATGAACATCCGCTTGTTAAGTTTGATGTCACGCGAAGCAGCTTCCTGGTCCAACTGCTATATCAAACTGTATAGGGAGATTCATCAAATGGTCATAATAAACGTTTACAAAGCAAACATTTTTTTTATTTTATAAAGTATTAAAATTTTGGTATTTGTGATGCAGCAAGTCCAGATACTGTTGTGTACACCATGAGTTTATATAAAATACACTTTATTGTTTGATATGACTAAAAATTGACCATAATCAAGTATTTTCTCTATTCAACTGAGCCTCGGCTTGGACCTGGAAACAGTATTCCTTTCGTCACCTGTACGTCACAACTTAACAAGCGAATAATAGCATCATAATGGAAGTACACTCTTACAAAGAACAGATAATATTTAATTCTTAAGAATAATTATTACAATTATAGAAACTTTAATAATTAGGCATTGGAATGAGAATTTGAAAACTTCTATTTCCTAAACAAATAAAACATTCAACAAAAAGTGCAAGGTACCAAGTACCCTGTTTAACAGTCAATTTAGACTTACAGAGGCACAGGACACCGAACAGGCCACATCCTCTACCAGATCTATTTTCAGCTATTAGGCACACAAATATATTATATTATTTGTAGTAAATAATTCTATAGTAAATACTATAGTTTTTTTTAACCATACTGACGCTGAGACCTTTAATAGAGATCACATGAGATGACAGAGGCTGTGCAATGAGCTAAAATGTTGCTAGTATGGGCAATGTGTATTGCATCACTGAAAATTATTAAGGTCCTGTCCATGTGTTGTGCGACTAATTGATATATTGATTTTTGTGATGGGCATATTTTCAGGAAAGTTTTATTATTAGGCCGATAATTAAAGAAATTCACATGCATATGGATCTGTAGGCTGTATTTAGTTAAGCTCTGAATGACTCTATTCAGCATCTCAAAACTTGTTTTCAGATTGCACAAATCTGCTTACGGCCTCCAGCACCATCTTTTCCCTGATGGTGCTGTGTGCCGTGGTTCTGATCACTGGCTTTTTCAACCTGGAGTTTTACACACGTGAGTAAACAAACTTGATTTGTCTTCACTTTTGGATTTTCAACAAGTATTGTATTTTAATACTAATCATTTAATTAACTTTTTTCTCTTCTCCCTCAAGTGGTTCCCTCAATTCCATGCTCGCGTGTGGCTCTTCTGGGAACGGTGCTTCACCCACTTCAATGTGTCCATTCTTTGGTTTACTCCTCCATGGGCATGCTGGTAATGTGGTGTGCTTCTGTCATCATCAGCGGACGTTACAGCACTCTTGGAACTCCCTGCATGCAAAACGAGAGGTGGGTTTTGACCTGATTCTACTTGTCCCACATACAACATGTCTAGTAGATTGTCTTTCAATAATTGCGTTCGTTAAATAATTTGTCGGCAAACCGAAGAGATTGAAATGCCTGTAGTTATCTTAAATTGTTTTAATTGAGTCTGTAATCCTATCTCAAAATTGCCAGGAGGTCAGTCTTAAATAGGCCAAGTGCACTTCTACAATGCAAATGAAATGGGTTCTCTGTCTGCAGTTTGGTTTTTTAATTTGTTGCACATTGTGACTTTTTTTATAACAAAGTTAATAATGAATGCTGTTTATTTTCTGTAGCGGTGACGTGCTGACCTGTCTGAACGAGTATCATCTGTTTCTTCTTCTGGCTGGGGCTTTCATGGGATACAGCCATAGTTTTTTGGGAGTGGTTAAAAACATGTACTATGTTTCCTTTCAACCCATACAAGTAAGTATTTGACTGCTCATTTGTCATAATTGGTGGTTGGCTAATATATATTTATTAAAATTATGATATATTTTTGATGTTTAAAATGCATGTTATCATACTATTTTGTTAAAAGTGGGTAAGCAATGACTATTTACGTACAAATTTGTACCAATAGTTTGTATAAAAAACGGAATTATTTATTGACTAAGCAGCAAAACCTATAGCAAATGCCAGTATTTGCAATTTTAAACATTATCACTTAAAATATTGTAGTTTAAACTAAGGCTGGGCGATATGGCAAAAATTAAATCTCGATAATTATTTTCTATATTAAACGATAACGATATATGATTTTATATAAGTTGTTTATGCTTCCACATTTAAAAGGGCACCCCAACAATGACTGAAGTCACAAAAACGACAGGGTCCCTGCGTAACATTTTCGGTCTAAATTTTCAGTGGCGAAAAATTTTTTGGCGAAAAATCTCTAATAT